ATAGTACTCAATTTTATTCAATTTATTTAGAAAAAATATATTTTCTATTTATAAAATTTGGACAAAATATCTTAGAGTTTTTAATATGTAGACTTGTATGGTGGACCAATCTTTTATTAAACAAGCATGTGTGGAATTGATTGGCCGATAGGGAGAAAGAAGGAGAATATATTTTAGAGCTAATAAATTTGACTGAACATAAATAAGAATATTAATATAAACAAGATAAATATAATATGTAATTTAAATTATCATTTTTCTAAAATTTCTAATTAAATGTATTTAATTGAAAATAACTTCTCTCTCACTATGAACATTTTCGGTCTATAATATGTGATAAAAGAGTGATAACAATATTTCCGCTTTCCTTAAAGATTTACAAAAATAAATTTAATTTGAAATAATAATTTACAATTTACTAAATATATAATACAAGGAAACCAAAAATTATTTTCCGCATTCAATAGAATGTGGATTTTCCGTTTTCGCTAAAACCGTAAATTCATCTCACGCTTTCTTATAATATGCAATTTCGTTTTACGTACCTACTCCGTTTTAAATTAATGCTTAAATCTGCTTTTGCAACTGAAACAAAGGCTTCGATTGTGATAGTTTTCTTATTGCTTCTTTAAATAAATTTTTTAAAATTTTGTACTAAAAATTATTTTAAGCAACAGTACGAAAGTCATCTCAAACGAAACCAAAACTCATTACATCTACATAATTGCATAAATAATGAAATTTTATTAAATTCAGATACTCTTGAAAGAAAAAATGGTAAATAAGAGAGAGAGGAAGAGAGAGATCAGATCCAATGGGATGAGAGAGAGAGAGAGATTCAGTGGGACGGGACACAGTGGAGAAACATGAAGTTATGTACAATAATTGATGATCTTATCAGAGATCAATCAATGATAATTTGTCCAATTCATAGTTCAAACAATTTGCCTTAACCTTTCACATAAATTACAAGAACACGTGCAATGAATTATACACATACATGCACCAATTATAGATAGATATTAAGAGAATTGACTATACTAATCAAAATATTTTAAAAAAAAAGATATATTGATGAAATGAAATGACTGATGCCTGATGGTGTTATATAGGAGAATTTTATATTCTGAACATTTAGAGAAAGAGAGAGAGAGAGTCAGAGAGAGAACTGTTCCCCATGACGCCATGGCTGGTGCAGTGCATGGAGCCATGCAGACGCTTCCACGTGAAGTTCATAATATGGCTGTACGTACCACAGCTAGCTGTACAAACATAAAGTTCCAGCTCATGTGCTGACAATTATCATAAATTTTGTTCTAAATTTTTCAAAAAGGTTCTATTGTGTATCTTAGAAATTATTCGGCGCGGCATTCGGATGTGAGTGTACATAGCATTATGAATTGTGTATAAAAAAAATCAAAGTATATATAAAATTATACTCAATATATACATATATTGTGTACACACATCCGGACGCTTCTTTATCGTCTGATTTCCGCACGGAATTGAATAATTTCTCGTGTATACGTGAAGTTGATCAACTATGTCTGCATCTGCAGCTTCAGAAAAATGTCATAAAAATCACGATTTGGTCATGTTATGATCGATCCAGTGATAAAAAATCTGCTAAAAATCATTTGATGATGTATCAGCAAATGGATTTGCAATGGCATTTATGGCCTTGTGAAGATTTTCTGGTTTTGCTTACATTGAATGTGATGAGAGTGATAGCTGTGCGAGCATGATCGTCTCATCAGTTGTTGGAATGCAGCTTTTGGATTTAGATTCAAAGGATGTAATGTTTCACATTTTTGGGAACTATTTTTGAGCAAGTTTTAGTACTGTCGGTCTTCAATCACTTCACTCTTTAAATGATTTTTTATGTATATTTTTTTATGTTTAGGGTTTCTAAAAATAATATCGAGTAAAATTCATTTCATGAGTGTTAGGAGAAGTCAAGTTTGAGAAGTGCTCAACAAGGTCTTGGGGAGATGCCCAATAGCTCAGAGACTGTGTGACCAAGAAGATTGTTATAATGCTAGCTAGCTAGTATTCTACAAAGGAAATATCATATTTGGTGTCCTCACTTTGAATCTCATGGATTTGTAGCCATAAATTGTTTACATACTTCGTAAATTTGTTGACGAAAAATATCGCTATGGAAATCAATTATTTCTTCGCAGTGCTTTATAAGGTCTTACTAGGGGTGTCAATATTTGACACAACCTAAAACCCGTGGTTGACCCATTTTTACCCGAAAATTGAAGATTGACATATTTTTTACCAGAAGACTTGCAATTTTTGAACGGCCTCAGGTCATTCGGGTCGTGTCGGGTTAACTCAAACCCAAAGTGAGTCTGGTTTAGGCCCGAAAAACTGACCTATTTGCAAAATACGGGTCGGGTTCGGGTTGACCCCACTAGTGACGGGTCAATTCCGGGTTCGACCCGAACCCGACCCATGACCCGAAATTGACACCCAGCCTAGGTTTTACCACCATATTTTATTCATACATGATTGATAAAGTTATTGCAATCTTATTGCCTAATTGATGTGATTGTATATCATTATATATCCTTTTTCTCCAATAGACTATTTGCCCAACCTATCTTGCTCTATTTTCATGTCAAGGATCATGATCAAGAAAGTTAAAGCTAGTCTAAAGGTCTTATCTTACTCACAGCTGAGGAAGCCAAGGTCAATCAATAGTAAAATTGAGAAACATCTCAAGTACAAACCTCAAAAATTGACCTTAGGCATAACTAGAGAAGTCTGGATAAGAAATTATTCTTGACGTTACCCCTTAAGAATGTATTGTAAAGTCCATCTTTAGGTAGAACTATGGAAGTTTTCGGATGAACTAAAGCTAATCTTAATAACTTGTAACAAGTATTAATTAGTATAAGTTAAGCTATAATTTTAAAATATAACAATAAATGCCTAGGTAATGAACTAACCTTGAAAGATTATTTCAAGCATAAGTTTAGAGGTCCAAACTTAGTCGAAATTAGAGAAATCTTTGTCAACAAATATCAACCTAAAAAGATAACATAAAAATAAGTCATAAATATAATTACCTGCAGTTTTAGGTTCATTAATTTCTGGTTGTTTTAGCTGCCGGAAAATGACAGCCGGTTTTCATTTCCTACGCGGTTTATTTCGGCGGTTTATAAACAGCCGGAAATTTTATAAACCACCAGAAATTACTGCCGATAATGAGAGATTTTCATGTAGTGTAAGCACTACTAGAAAAAAAAATGATTTAACTAATACTATCCTTCAAAGTTTACCTCAAGCATGAGCCATTTGTTCCAAAATAAGGCACACACAAAAAAGTTTGGGTCATCCATCATTGCATTCAAAGCACATTTGAAGTATAAGTCCTAATTAGGCCAAATTTTAGGTACAATAACAAAGTTTGGGCTAACTGATGCTAGCCCCAAAAGTATATTTAAATCATAAGTCATAGGAAAGAGACTTAGGTGCAACAAAAAAAATTATTGGAGTATGGCTTTAGGCAAATTTAGGTAAGCATAGGTAACTAATACTATTATTGAGAATTTGAGATCATATCAAAAATACTAGTCTTGCAACACCATTTTAGGTACAATTAGAGGAGTCCAGTTAATAAATACCATATATAATAGGTTTCATTCCAAGTAACAAATCTTAAAATTTTATATTAAGCATAGCTAGAGAATCTTTCCTTCTTGCTTCCTTGCTTTGGATCGCTTTTTCATGAGAAATAAAGGATTTATTTATAGATTTTCTAGAGTGGCATAGCTATTAAATAGAAGAAAGATTAAGAGTAAGTTGAGAGTGGTTTGCATGGACGGCTGATGCTGATTCCCTTGATCATGGATTTTACTTGACATTTAAATGACTTAGCGACGTCAGAATTCAGCAATCTTGTGCTCATTGGATTCGTTTCGTCAAGCCGCTCGATTCAACTATAATCATGTCACGTTTGGTAATCCAAATTGTTGGTTTGAACCTTCCAAAAGCACTTCTGGTCTTTGATTTGGACCCATTTGGGCTCGGATTGAGTTGAATTTGGTGTAGTTTTGTTCGTATTTTCGAGACGATTAGTTCGACGAACGGTCGCAATATTAATTTTGAAAGTTCATTTCCAACTTGATTTTGCCTCGAGATTTGTGCCCAATCAAGATTATTTTTAGATGATATATCAAATATATATATTGAATTGATAGTGATTCAATCCCTGCCTAGCTTGAAATCGAACCAAGCCAAAAATATGGCTTGTAACTTGGGTCATTTGGCTCAATACAAGCTCAATTTGAGCTAAATCGGTTCGATCTTCGAGCTAAATTCTCAGCTCCAATTAGAATGACTCTTCTAATACCTACATTAGCATACATGAAACAGATAGATGTCTTACTTAATGACTTATAATTGACATCTCAAATAAAATTCACAGCCATTCAAAAGAGCCAGATCTCTAGCTAGTCATTTACATGTGCACATGTGCATCAATAAATAGCAGTTATCATCCAAAGTTTGTCTGAAATAAATATTAAATTTAAAAAAGAAATAACAATTATTCAAGCCTCTTAAAGGTATCTTAAATTTTGTTAGTTGAGTAAGTTTAAAACCTTGTAATATACCAAACTATAGTCGGCAACATATGTATTTTTCACACTTTAAAGGGTATATGTGAGATTTAGACTTTATTTGGGACGGCTTTCTTACTACTTCTTGAAGCAATTTTTTAGTACAAAAGTTAAATCTTTTGTACTAAAAAGCTGCGTAAAAAAAACCATCCCAAATGAAGTCTTAGGATTTATTTGGAACAGCTTTTTTAGTGCTTCTTAAAATAGTTTTTTAATAAAAAAATTTAATTTTTTACTAAAACTCTATTTTAATAAATCCAAACGAAGCCTCAACCATTGCTACAAATCAGACAACATATGTATCTCTTGCCTATTTAATACTCAGCAAAGCCTCTTCTTCTCCCCCCACACTTGCTTTTTCTAGCTTGCTGGTATTGTGTGACTGCAGTAGTACTGGAGATGAGGAGAAGATCTTCAGTTTCTAAAGGGAGAACTGCTGGGGCCAGGAGGAAGAGAGCTGTGACAAGTTTGGTGATTAGGAAGCTAAGGAAGCTGAAGAGAATTGTGCCGGGATGCGGCCGGAGCTCCGGCGCAGACTCGCTCCTTCGAAGAACAGAAGCATACATATCTTCCCTCGAAGAGCAGGTTCTTCTCCTGGAGAGCCTCTGCAACCTCTTCGGTGTGTAGCTCTCCTGCAACCTCTTTTTACCATATATATACTGTGTAAAAGAGGAGAGTGTTTTGGGAATTGACGGTGCTGTATATTTTTATTATCTTCAAGCTGTATATGTCTTATTGAAGCTTGCATGAATGATTGGAATTTCAGATGAACAAATGAAGCACTTTTGCTGAAGAGTTATTTATTTGGAATAGTATAAGATTAGTACAAGTTAATTCGCTCGAATTGATACTAATGGCAGGGAGAAAAAAGACTATCGAGCTTCTTTTCCAGCAAAGAGAGAACAAAAAATAAAAATCCCTTCTTTGGTAACTGGGCTCCCTGTATCAGTTCTACGATAAAATAAAGGTCAAAGCTTTATGAAGGAAATTAATGCATCTCTGAGATCCAATCTTTGACAAGTTTTGATTTTTTTTTAAGCCTCTTTCAGATCAGAGAATCCAGGCAAAGCTCTATTTGAAAGCAGCTTCTATGAGTCGCTGTACTTAATTTTCTGCAATCAAAGCTTAGGTGTTAGATGAAATTTATTAGCACTTATAGTGATATCTTCGTTTACTCAGCACAAGCCATTGTTTTCTCATTCAAAGAATTTTTGTTATTTTTATAAGTTTCCTTTTTTTACATATAATATGCTCTGTTTTGTTTGAAGTAGTCAATAGAAAGGAAATGAAAAGTGGAAATTGATAGTTGAAGAAAATATTTTCTTATTAAAAATTATGAAGTTGATGTGATTGAGTATCTTCACTACTCTGATTGAAAAATATATATTTTTTATCATAGAAATTTTGCAATATAATGAGAAAACAGTAATAAAATAATAGTGAAATAAAATTATAATTACTATTTGAAAAGCTATTCACTGAGAAAACTATTCCAAATATACTCTTAGTTGAGAAAATATAAAAAAAACATATTTTGTATTTTTTTATGTAATTGATGAAGATTAAACTTTAAATTTATTTATGAGAAAGTGGCATTTTAGGCTTCGTTTGGGATGGTTCTTACTGCTTCAGCTTCCTAGTTAAAAAAATTAAAATTTAAAAACTAAAAAGCTGCTTTAAGAAACAATGAAAAAAACTTCCCAAACGAAACCTTAGGATTTGTTTGGGACCGCTTTCTTGCTGCTTGAAGATTTTTGTACTAAAAAGTCGTTTTAAGAAGTAGGAAGAAAGCTGTCCCAAATCAAGCCTTAGGCTTCATTTGGGACGGCTTTTTCATTACTTTCTAAAACAGAGTTTTAGTACAAAAATAAAAAAAATTTGTACAAAAACTCCATTTTAGAAAACAATAAAAAAACCGTCCCAAATGAAGCCTTAGTCTCAAAAATGAGCCTGACATAAAATTTCTTAATGTGTTTCACTGATTAGAGAGACAAAAATTCTTAGTAAAGTATGCATTGACCATTCCAACTAAATCTAATTATTTATATCCTAATTACAAGCAAATCAAATACTCAAGATAAAATTATGATGTAAAATATATTTATCTTTCCTTTAATTTCATTAAACAAAATGCAACCAAATTACAAATCTATTACATTTATAATATATTTATTTATTTATAATACCCAAAAAAAGGAAATCTATCAAATCAAATATTATTTCATATTTCTTAATATCAATCCATAATACTTGTATTTAAAACCCTAAACACAGAGGCAAGAATATTCTAATAAATATAATATTGTATATTACAGTGATTTAAATCTAGGTTTATCCAAAGAGTATTTAGGATATTACTGTTTGATGTGCAATTAATTAAGCATGAAATTGAACAGCTTTTTAGAATCATGACAAATGATATTAATTATGTTTATAAGAAAATTTAATTAAAATTTCAATCTTATTTTGATGATATCACTTTCTATGTTTCATATAAATCTATTCAAATTTTATAAAGCTAATAGTAAAACCTTAATATTTATTTATATAATACTAGTATTTTATATTTTCTTTGGAATAATTTTTTGATTATTTTTATGATAAGAAAAATATTCTTAAGAAAATAATATTTGTTTGACCACTATTTCAAGTTTATGAACTAATTTTAGTGATATCTTTTATTTTATTAACAATTTAGATAATATATAGATAAATTCAAAGATTTTGGGTTTGTTTATGACAGTTGCAATTTTTTGGTAAAAGTAATAATAAATCTACTGCAGTGAAAGTAAATTATTTTAAAATTGTTGTAAAAAATAACTTCATAATGCAAAAAATTGTTGAAACTAGCAAAACAATAATGGCTAAATAAAAACTATAATTATGACCGGAAAAATAAAGTAATAAAAAAGTTAATCCAAACAAAATCTTAGATTTTAAATAATAAAAATATACATAAGAAATTATATATCTTATTTCAATAATATATCTTCAAAACAGCTATAAAAATATTTATTTTTGAAATAAAATTTAAATCAAAGATAAAATATTCAATCACATGATAACTTTAAAATATCATTTATCACAATTTAAAGTGCTCCAAACAGGAAATGGCCTAAAAGCTTCTGCCATAAATGTTTTCCTATTTTAATGCCAAAGACCACATGAAAGCTTCAAAGGCAAATATAACTATGTTGTCAAGTGGCTATCTTATTTGCAAGGCAACTTTGCTATGCTAATATCAAATGATATATATATATTTTTTTTTTTGCTTTATGATTGCAAGTCGATCTGATTCTAAGGCTTTGTTTGGGACGACTTTTTTACTGTACGTTTCTTAAAACAATTTTCTAGTACAAAAATATTTTTTATACTAAAAAATTGCTTTAAAAAACACTGACAAAGTCATCTCAAACAAAGCCTAAATCCACATTAACCTGTTCCAGCAGATAAGCTGGTTTAATTTTGTTCAGCAAAACAGAATAAGTTTCTACTCCAACCAAATAAGTCAGTCTAAAAGCACTTGCACATTTAATGGCTGAAATAGTTGGTCTATAAGCACTGTAAGCTATGAAAGAACACTGATGTAATGCCATAGTGATTTGTCTCTGTCTGTAGTTTTCAAATATTAAATCCTTTGTCGAAGTCAAAATGGTGTGTGATTATCAGTGTATGAGAACCATATCTCTAATCAATGCCATTTTCAGATGATTATTCATACTTGGCTCAGAAAATTTATTGTAATCTTGCATGAAATATTTGGACAAAAATCATGAAGCAGGTAGAGTTTTTGTTCTGGAAGAACAGTGTTGTCTGCACCATGAAATGGAATTAGGCAATGATAAAGATAAGCGCGAAAAAATATATTTTTTACTTCAAAATATAGTAATAATTATATTAAATAGTAATTCATCTTCAACTGAATTCTAGTTCTAACATCAAAAAAGAATATTATGTATATATTCTTTTTCAGATCTATTTTATATTTATTTTTAATCAAAATGAGTGAATAAATAGTGTTTTGAATAGTGCGATGTCAATATTGACACGGCACTGTTGATAGTCAAGATTAAATGCAAAAAAAATGCATTTTTATATGTTGTTCAAGTGGACACTCGCCGGAGCTGCAAACGGGCGAACAAAGTTTGATTGGAGAGGCCCTAAAAAGTGATTTACAAGTCAGCAAAATAGAAAATAGTACTCACAAGTCCTTCTCAATGGGCACAAATTTAAATCATGTTTATTCAGTCACATGTCACTTTAACGGTACAGCACATCTCAAGGGCAAATTATTACGGACGTCCGGACATCCAATCCAGATGCGCCACGTCACCCAAATACACTGGGACCAGTTATTATGGTGACGCGGCGCATCTGGATTGGTGTCCGGACGAATCCGGACACCGGACGTAATAATTTGCCCATCTCAAGAGGTAGAAGGTTTTGCAGTGTTCTTACTTTCCTCATGGTCAATAAAAAAATGCTAATTTTGGCAAGATTATATATACGAAGCCTAAATTGATGTAAACTTTTCCCAAAAAAAAAAAAATTGATGTAAACATAGCATCAAGTTGATTTGCATAAATTAGATTTACAGAACTAAGTGCCAAATAGTTCATAAAGCCTGACTCAGATAATTCCAAAGATGATTGTGATGAAGAGTAAACTCAACTTGGAGCAATTTTCATATTTTAATTGAGTCACAGTTTGTCTCTTCTTCAAACAAGGACAGACAAAGATGAGCTTGATGAGACTCAACAATTCAATGGAGAAAAAGGAAAGAATGACTCCATACGTCTGTAGCCTCTAAAGAAGGGCAGGTGCAGGGATTTATTGCTGTCAAAGTTCACGAAATTCATGTGAACACCATGCAATATTAAAATTAATTCGTTTAGACCGAGTTTTCGATTGGGACGGGTTTCATTCTTCTTTTTAAACAGCTTTCTAATACTAAAAACATTACTTTAAGAAGCAGAAAGAAAATCGTCCCAAACGAAACCAGAGTGATTCAAGACTGAATAGGCAAGTAATGGCCACCTTGGGATGTTTCCTATGTTCATTTTTACCTTATCTCCTACCATTCTTCTATGTGTAAGCAAGTATTAAATAAAAGTTTCACACTATAGAACCTTTGGCCCTTGCAATAAATGATTATAAATAGATGAGAAATTTGAAATCCTTATAAAAAAAAATTCTTCTTATTAAAAAAAAAAAGTGACTTGCTTATCAAGATAATCTTCTTATCTTTTCCTTAGTATATCATCTTCACCCATCGTCAACAGAAACTACACTGTTTCTTGAACAGTAAAATCTGTCCACAGAAACAGTGCTGTACCTTTTTATGTTCTTTATCCTGCACATATATCAAGATCAGTAAACAATTAAGGCCCCCTTCCTATGTTGTACTCTCTTCAATTTTTATTGTGGTTATGATTAATTTTTTATAATTAAATATTATAAAATTTATATTTAAGATAATTATCTAATTGAAATTCAGGATATGAAATTCAAATGGATCTTAGTAATAAAATTCACATAGAAGATTGGATTAGAATGCATTAGAAATGATAATTGTTTAGTAAATTTAAATTAGAATTTGACTTTTAATAAGACAATTGCGAAAGCAAAAAAGAGACTAACCCCACATAGTGAAATAAAGACTTAGGCTTCATTTAGAACGGCTTTCTTTCTGCTTCTTAAAGCAGCTTCTTAGTACAAAAAAATTTATTTTTGTACTAAAAAACTACTTTAAGAAGCAATAAGAAAGCCGTCTCAAACGAAGCCTTATTGTTGTTATTGTTGTCATCATCTTATGATGCGTTTAAGATAACTGTAATTTTTTATAAAGGAGGTTGTAAAACTACTTTAGAAAAAAAAAATTAAAAATTGTCAAGAAAGCAATTACGAAACAAAACCTATGATTATGATTTAAACAATAAAGCTATAAGAAAGCAGTCCCAAATAAAACCTTAGCAATAGAATGCTTACAGAATTTTGAACACCATCCAAGAATTTTAGTTAAGCTTGTTAAAATAACTATATTAGATAAAATCTCATTAATCAGGAGACTTATGAGATTAACGTTTCTTAATATTTTAACCTGTTTATTCTTTTACATAGTTTTCTTCTAATTATTTGAAGTATGCCTTGCACCAGAAAGCCTTGCGACAAGCAAGGAGTCCCT